AAATAATTATTGGAACATAACAATGTAAGCTTAATTGAAGAACAATTATTAAAACAGTATGCAAAAGTAACAACAATTTATAAGTCCAGAGAGGAGAGAAAATATCTAAAGTTACCAACACTACTAATTAACAATTTATAAGTCCAGTGAAAGGGAATATATTTTAAGTCCAGAGCAGAGGGAAAATATTTAAAGTTATCAATTCAAATCAATAAATTTAATTGAAAGCTTGATTAACAAACAATTAAAACAAATAATTATTAAAACATTGTCTAAGTCCAGTGAAAGGTAAAATATTTATTTTTAAGTCCGGAGTAGAGGGAACATATTTAAAGTTATCAACAATTCTTTTTTCCAATTTACTAAAATTCAAGTCTAGTGAAAGGGAATATACTAACATTCAATACAATAACAATTTATAAGTCCAGTGTAAGGGAAAATATATAAAATTATCAACAATTTTTTTTTACAATTTACTAACATTCAATACAATAAATTTAATTGAAAGCTTGATTGACAAACAATTATTAAAACATAAGTAACAAAGTGAAGTAATGGGAACGTTATCAACAATTGAAATGTCCATTGCAAAATAAGCCACAAAAAATTTTGCAATTAAAAGCATACAATAATTTACATTACCTTTTCATCAAATTTCTACAGAAAGGGTTGCACCAAAATTGGCTATGGGATGTTAAACAAATGAGGCCATATCAAAAACTGTATTAACATTATGTGTTACTCAGTAACTAAGGCCAATAGCTCGGTGTCTTTGGTAATTCAATTTGGAATTGGCACTACTGTATAAAGAAATTTACTTACTATTGCCAAAGTTACAATTTAAAATATTACAGCTTCTCTGTACTAAATATATATTGAATTTGGACCTTAATGATTAAGTGCAGACGTACATTAATGTTTTTAACATATATTATTTAGGTGTTTCGATCATCAGTGACATCAATTCCTGCTAACATTAATATAAATGGTCTGTATTTTTATGAAGCAATTGTTACAATACAACTGAACCTAACCGTAAAATTTTAAGCCTAAATACTGTAAATTCAAATTGTATTCATTAACAGTTAATTTATTACCAAATAGCCTAAATATATTTTCAAATTTCAAATAAATGCAATTTTAAATATTTAATATTTTCAAAATTTTTATTGTTTGTCTATGATTTACAAGAAAATTATTGATTGTATTAGGTTGGATTAGTTATTAAATTTTATTTAATTTTTAAATGAAGATATTAAAACCATTGCTATATTATTATTATTATAGTTAAATTGTATGTCATAAACAAAAATTTATTAATTTTAAAGTTATTTATTAAAATTTAATTATGAAATAGGGAAATAAAGTTGTACTGTAATACTGACAACCAAAATAATTGCTATGCTTACAGGGGAAAACAATTACTATTATTACTACAGTATTATAGACTATTAAACTCATATGTAAAACAAACTTTCTTGGGTACATATTTATCCCACAAAGCAATTTGCAATGGACATTCAATTTACAATGGACATGAAATTCATAATATTAAACATTCACAAACTTTTGCCATCACACTCACAATTCAGTAGAGGAAGCAACACGCTGGCGAGCGAGCAGGGCAGGTTGACTCGTTGCAGAAAGAAGGAACAATTAATGTCCAAGTTTCTTCGGAATTTCTACTGCAAAATAAATGACCAAGTAATTAGATTCAGGATGAGGAATTTTAAATGCACAATAAATATTAAAATGTTTTATTGCTAGTTTAGTATTATTCAATTGCCAACATTAAATGTGGGAAAAAAAAGCCAAACCAGTCACTCATTGCAAATTGTGTATTAGAGATAATGGTCAAAACATGCTGAAATGTCAAATTATTAAAAATCTATTTTATTGCACTATAATAATCTTATAATATAAATCATGGCTATGCTGTTATTTTCTCCTTTTCAATGTAAAACAACAATTTTTAATGATTTAGTGATGGTTTCTTGCTTAGAAATGCCCAAAATAATAAACTTTAAAGGCTGATTTCTCAAATATTGTTTTTGAACAGCTATAACTTTATCTTTATAAGAAAATGTCGGATTTAAATCGCTGATGTGAAGATTTTAGGCCTAGCCTAAGCTAACCCAGGCTGACACTGGTAATAGTAGCAGTACCAGTGATGGTAGACTCGGCAGGATCTTTATTCTTAATTAAAGCAAGTTATTTATTTCTTTTATGTTGTATTATGAGTAAAATGTGAATAAAAACAAACTGGACTGTGTGTTTCATGCTTTTATATTGTTTTCACATGCATTTTCGGTCTGACATTTTTTTTTCTAAACACAACACATTCTTCGTGTAAACTCCTAAACTCTGCCCGCTAATTGGTTCATTTTTTTCGTGGGTCATAAATGTCTTGCAGACATGAACAAGTTCAGGCTAAACTGATTAATTTTTAATTAAACCGATTTATTAAAACAAATAAGAAACCCACATGATTTTGTTTTACAGTAAAATCTACAAATTTCCTCAGTAATTAGCAACATGTTTTTGAGGAAAGAGTAAATCTATGCATTTGTAATTTACACTGATGAATCTACGACATCCAAATCCGGAAAGTCTACTGAAAAAATTCAACCGTTGTAGAAACTTGCTTTTAGTTCTGTCTTCATTGTAGGAGTTGATTGGAATACATTTTTAAATATTAGGCCTACATAAGGCGATAATGCACTTTATAAACAACGGAAGGCGTACAGTAAACTGAGTAACTTTCACATAATTTAACATTTAGGCCTACTGGTGTGTTGTTTTAATCAATAGATAATCTCTATGACAATGCTTTTGTGACTGAGCTAGCTGTACGCCGGGCCATTCACATGGTGTTGTACTAGGCCTAGTTGTTAATTAATAGACAGCGATGATTATTGCGTTATTTCGTCTGGAAATCGATTAACTGTTTGTTCGGTTTATAGAAGTTGATTTTAATGTTCCAGACTGAATAAAATATCCGGAATTCAGAATAGGGGTAATCCAGTTTTCTGAAAGTATTTTATTTTATCAAAACGTAGTTGTGAATTTGAACATAACAGGTCAGCATGGGTTGATTTCAGGGCTGTAGCAGAAACTAAAAACTGCTGACGTTATAACCGTCGTCAATTTTATAGCGCCAGCGATTTTCATTTTATTTTTGCCAACATACTTCTTTCCTAATTTTGAAAGGCTGAACAAATGTAATTGCAGAACAAAAATATCTAAATTTGGTCAAATGAAAATGCAGAATGAAAATGATATTGCATTTTATATTTATATACTTACTTAATTTAATTATTTACTATGTCCAAGTTCTTTATCACAATTGGTTTCAATAAGTTTGAAATAATTATTTAAAAGTAGACATAATCTGAACAACCAATGTATTATGCAGAATTGACAATTCTGCACCCCTATTTTCCAGGCAATCTTCTGTTGTTTTGCATTGAGATATCATCTGCACAATTAAACCATTATTTTTAGGAAGTGGGTCATTCCATGTCAAATCACCCAATGGATTTAACCACATATTTTTTGATTTTGATGAAACTTGGTGTACTTGTTTAGTGTGATCTCGCAGCACGAAATCTCAAATTTTAGGTCAATCGGTTGAGGGGTTTGGGAGATATGGCCCACCAAAAATTGAGATTTTACGCAAAAACGGGCGTGGCCACCTAACTTTGAACCCTTGTAGCTTGGGAATGTCTGGGTCAATCATCACAAAATTGGTATTGTTGGAAAGGAAATATAATAAGGATTCCAAATCTACCATCATTTTAAAGATTTGTACATGTTGATGTACTTTGACCTTTTGACTCAAGATTTGACCTTAACAATTTGTAAGTCCAGAGAGGAGAGAGAAAATATCTAAAGTTATCAATTTATAAGTCCAGTGAAAGGGAATATTTTTATATTTTAAGTCCAGAGCAGAGGGAAAATATTTAAAGTTATCAATTCAAATCAATAAATTTAATTGAAAGCTTGATTAACAAACAATTAAAACATAAATAATTATTAAAACAGTATGCAAAGTAACTTAACAGAGCAGAGGGAACATATTTAAAGTTATCAACAATTCTTTTTTCCAATTTACTAAAATTCAAATCAATAAATCAGGTCTAGTGAAAAGGAATATAATTGTAATTAACATATTTATATCCAGTGGAGAGGGAAAATATATAAAATTACCAACAATTCTTTTTACAATTTACTAACATTCAATACAATAAATTTAATTGAAAGCTTGACTGACAAACAATTATATAAGTAACAATTAATTAATGGGAATGTTATCAACAATTGAAATGTCCACTGCAAAATAAGCCACAAAGAATTTTGCAATTAAAAGCATACAATAATTTACATTACCTTTTCATCAAATTTCTACAGAAAGGGTTGCACCAAAATTTGCTATGGGATGTTAAACAAATGAGGTCATATCAAAAACTGTATTAACATTATGTGTTACTCAGTAACTAAGGCCAATAGCTCGGTGTCTTTGGTAATTCAATTTGGAATTGGCACTACTGTATAAAGAAATTTACTTACTATTGCCAAATTACAATTTAAAGCATTACAGCTTCTCTGTACTAAATATATATTGAATTTGGGCCTTAATGATTAAGTGCAGACGTACATTAATGTTTTTAACATATATTATTTAGGTGTTTCGATCATCAGTGACGTCAATTACTGCTAATAATAATATAAATGGTATCAGAAGTCTGTATTTTTATGAAGCAATGAACCTAACCAAAAAATTTAAAGCCTAAATAAATTCAAATTGTATTCATTAACAGTTAATTTATTACCAAATAGCCTGAATATATTTTCAAATTTCCAAATAAATGCAATTTTAAATATTTAATATTTTCAAAATTGTTATTGTTTGTCTATGATTTACAAGAAAATTATTGTATTAGGTTGGATTAGTTATTACATTTTATTTAATTTTTAAATGAAGATATTAAAACCATTGCTATATTGTTATTATTATAGTTAAATTGTATGTCATAAACAAAAATTTATTAATTTTAAAGTTATTTATTAAAATTTAATTATGAAATAGGGAAATAAAGTTGTACTGTAATAATGACAACCAAAATAATTGCTATGCTTACAGGGGAAAACAATTACTATTATTACTACAGTATTATAGACTATTAAACTCATATGTAAAACAAACTTTCTTGGGTACATATTTATCCCACAAAGCAATTTGCAATGGACATGCAATTTACAATGGACATGAAATTCATAATATTAAACATTCACAAACTTTTGCCATCACACTCACCATTCAGTAGAGGAAGTAATACTGGCTAGCAGGGCAGGTTGACTCGTTGCAGTTAAAGAAGGAACAATTAATGTCCAAGTTTCTTCGGAATTTCTACTGCAAAATAAATGACCAAGTAATTAGATTCAGGATGAGGAATTTTAAATGCACAATAAATATCAAAATGTTTTATTGCTAATTTAGTATTATTCAATTATCAACATTAAATGTGGAAAAAAAGCCAAACCAGTCACTCATCGCAAATCGTGTATTAGAGATAATGGTCAAAACATGCTGAAATGTCAAATTATTAAAAATCTATTTTATTGCACTAATAATCTTATAATATAAATCATGGCTATGCTGTTATTTTCTCCTTTTCAATGTTAAAACAACAATTTTTAATGATTTAGTGATGGTTTCTTGCTTAGAAATGCCCAAAATAATTAAATTTAAAGGCTGATTTCTCAAATATTGTTTTTGAAAAGCTGTAACTTTATCTTTATAAGGAAATGTCGGATTTAAATCGCTGATGTGAAGATTTTAGGCCTAGCCTAAGCTAAGCCAGACTGACACTGGTAATAGTAGCAGTACCAGTGATGGTAGACTCGGCAGGATCTATATTCTTAATTAAAGCAAGTTATTTATTTCTTTTATGTTGTATTATGAGTAAAATGTGAATAAAAACAAACTGGACTGTGTGTTTCATGCTTTTATATTGTTTTTACATGCATTTTCGGTCTGACATTTTTTTTTCTAAACACAACACATTCTTCGTGTAAACTCCTAAACTCTGCCCGCTAATTGGTTCATTTTTTTCGTGGGTCATAAATGTCTTGCAGACATGAACAAGTTCAGGCTAAACTGATTAATTTTTAATTAAACCGATTTATTAAAACAAATAAGAAACCCACATGATTTTGTTTTACAGTCAAATCTACAAATTTCCTCAGTAATTAGCAACATGTTTTTGAGGAAAAAGTAAATCTATGCATTTGTAATTTACACTGATGAATCTACGACATCCAAATCCGGAAAGTCTACTGAAAAAAGTCAACCGTTGTAGAAACTTGCTTTTAGTTCTGTCTTCATTGTAGGAATTGATTGGAATAGATTTTTAAATATTAGGCCTACATAAGGCGATAATGCACTTTATAAACAACGGAAGGCATACAGTAACTTTCACATAATTTAACATTTAGGCCTAATGGTGTGTTGTTTTAATCAATAGATAATCTCTATGACAATGCTTTTGGGACTGAGCTAGCTGTACGCTGGGCCATTCACATGGTGTTGTACTAGGCCTAGTTGTTAATTAATAGACAGCGATGATTATTGCGTTATTTCATCTGGAAATCATTGTTTATTAACTGTTTATTTGGTTTTGGAATATTTATGTTCCCGACCGAGTAAAACGTTCAAAATTCGGAATAGGGGGAATCCGGTTTTCCGAAATTATTTTCTTAACGGAAGAATAGAAATGGTTTTGGGAAAAATTTCGGTTAGCATTTAGCTTGAAATTCGGTTTTCTGGGCATTATGAATTTGTAGTTAGTTTAAATTTTATTTTATCAAAACGTAGTTGTGAATTTGAACATCAGTACATAGGCTAGGCTTTCCAACTTGATTAGGTGACTGCTGTAACAGGTAAGAATGGGTTGATTTCAGGGCTGTAGCAGAAACTAAAAACTGCCGACGAACGTTATAACTGGCGTCAATTTCATAGCGCTGGCGATTTTCACCTTCTTTTTGCCAACATAATTTCTTCCTAATTTTGAGGGCTGCACAATTGTAATTGCAGAAAAAAAATATCTAAATTTGGTCAAATAATTCAAATTTTTTTTTGTTTTTTTTTTGTTTTTTTTTTGTTTTATTTCCTTCACATCCAACAGCAAGTACACTTGTCACTTAAAGGATGGAATGATGCTTTATAAACTAAGTCACTTTATGAGGCTTAGGGAGTGGAGTTGTTTTTAAATCATGCATCACAACATAATTATATGCAGAATGAAAATGATATTATGCATTTTATATTCATATATTTACTTAATTTAATTATTTACTATGTCCAAGTTCTATATCACAATTGGTTTCAATGAGTTCGAATTATAATTATTTAAAAGTAGACATAATCTGAACAACCAATGTATTATGCAGCATTTACAATCCTGCATTTTTCATGCAAATTTTAGTTGTTCTGCGTAATTAAAATAATATTTTTAGGAAGTGTTTATTATGCCGGCGATCGGCAATATGGTAATATCGATATTTTGCCAGTCTATTTCTCTGATTGGCTGGTGTAAATTATGACATAATCAAAATTTTGGTAACAAGTTGCATGTTTTGCAGTTACCGGCAGTTAATTGTAGGGACTCTTTTAGTTGGTAAGCAATCAAAGGCAATCTGTAGAAATGTTATAAAGTATTTGATTTTTGTCCAATTAAGTAACCTATTCAAACTCAACATCTTAATTGTTAAAAAGCCGAACAAAGTGGCTTAAAAATATTGAGTCACATTCCAGGCTAAGATTTTAAATAAACATTACAGGCTTCATGACTTAGTAAATGGGCAATTCCATGGTAACGGAATTACAAATCACAACATTTTTTTATTTACTTTGACAAACCCAGAAAATTAGGGCGTGCATTGGAGAGTAACTGTTATAGATGTAAGGAATACATACACCTACCAATATCAAACAGTAATACTTAGGAAAAAAAACTAACAATATTTTAAAATTTTGAACAATTCTATTTCGGTAACGGAATTACACAGAAATTTTCAATTTTAATTTTGATCACGGAACATAAGATTCCGTCTGAATATTATAACCAATTAACATTAGTGACTGGTATCACAGTCTGGACATCAGGTGTGGCTAAATTGTTCATGAAAGTTTGCTGCTCATATATTTATGGTTTATTTGTATTTGATTGGTTTTGTTTGGTAACAGAATTACACAGAAATTTTCAATTTTAATTTTGATCACGGAACATAAGATTCCGTCTGAATATTATAACCAATTAACATTAATGACTGGTATCACAGTCTGGACATAAGGTGTGGCTAAATTGTTCATGAAAGATTGCTGCTCATATATTTATGGTTTATTTGTATTTGATTGGTTTTGTTTGGTATTGGAATTACATGTCCGATTACTGATTAGAATAAAATATAAACCATCAAAAAAAGAAATGGAAATAATCTTTAGTGTACTTGTAGAAGAGCCTCATATGATTTTAAAGCCCCATTCCCGGCAAAATTTCGCTAAAAACAGATTTTTTTTTTTTTAGAAAAGAAGCATATGCATTACTCCAATTATTATAAATCATGGAAAAATATTGGCATAAATTTTAGTTTTATGCAAAAGAATAAAAAAAATGGCGTTTTCTCGACGAATTCTTCATTACTAGGCAAATTCGGAGGTTGTAGATCGCATCCGCTAGAATACTCTCGCTTTTATGTATACTTTATGCAGTCAATAAAGTGCGCCCTCTCTAATGGGATTAGTTTTTGTATTTCGCATCTCGCACAATATGGTCATTCGAGTAGGCCTGAGATATGTTTGTTTAAGTGTCAAAATCTCGGTCAGAATCAGTTTTTTAACAAATTTGAAATAATTCCTATGAAATATTATATTTCACAAGTGTCAATACTAGCAACGGAAAATATCATGTCGGCCGTTTTTATGTGTGATAACAGAACCTAAATCGAGGTAAGGCTAGGCCTAGCCTAGCAGTGTTGGATAGGCTAATGTTTTCGGCGCCTACTATATTTCTTCGCACGACCTATCGCAAAATCAAACATGAAAAATTCATCCGCATATATATTTTGTGTGGAACACAAAAAAAAAAAATCAAATTTCAGTCTTACATTACATTTTTTTCATGCTTAGGAATGTCTAAATTTAGTTAAACTAGCAATTCCATATTATATTTACAAATCTTTATAACAATATACAAAAATTAGATTTTTCTTAACAACTGAAATTTTGCCGGGAATGGGGCTTTCAGCTACTTTAACCAAGTGCAGTAGGCATAGGCAGTATTAGCTGTTGCAAGTTTTATTTTGTTAACAGAATTACACAGAAATTATCAATTTTTTTCAAGTACACAATGTTCTGTCTGAATATTATAACCAACTAACATCAATGACTGGCATCATAGTCTGGACATAAGATGTGGCTAAATTGTTAAGAAACTTTGCTGCTCATATATCTATGGTTAAATGTATTTGTATGGTTTTGTTTGGAAACGGAATTACATGACACAATAATGGAGTTACATGTCCGATAGAACATGGAGGTGGAAGAAAATATCAAACTATCCAAAAACAATTTGTTGATAGTATTTAGTGTACTGTACTTATAGAACTACATCATATGCTTCTAAGCTGATTTAACTACACTACAGTAGGCAGAAATATTATCTGTTGCACCCGCACCTACTGTACCCACAATAATCCGAAAGGGCTATTCTAGAATGCCTATCCATATGTGGTTCACAAAGCTCGGTACTATGCAAGATCTATCCACTATATCTATGAATGTCGTCAATTGGCCACACAAATTAACAAAATTCAATTATTTTAACAAACTTTAGGGTAAACTTGTCATTGTGACTTTCAAGAACCTGACCAACAAATTTGTTGGCATTCTTCTGGCAAAAGTACTTAACAACCACCTACTTTAGGTCGGATCTATGGACAATTTATTATCACTTTTGACTGTAGGCCCAACACTACTTGTACCATCATGAGCTTGATTACTTCCTTTAACTTCATCACTATCACCAGCATCATCACTGACCTTTGGGTAATTCTACTGAGTTGGGGCACAAAGTGTGACATAGACATAAAAATTTCAAATTTCTAAAAAATGATAACCAATGGCTTTTTTAGTAACCTTAGTATCATAGATTATTGAAAAAACAAAAATCTTCCCATATTAGTTTTATGTGCAAAAATAAAAAACCCAAAAAATTGTTAGCTTATTCGTTGATAATGGCCTTTAATTAATGTATTTCCGATGTAACAGGGACGTCGTATTCATTGTTACATTTTTAGTTGCTATTTAATAATAATGTCTGTTCCCTTTAAAACTCACCATAAGTGGGTTGGAGTAGTAAAGTAGTAGTAGTATGCTTTAGTGTAATTTACAATACATAAACACCATTAAATGGACATGATCATGAAAACAGCTTACTTGACAATAACGATGTAACTGGGACGCCATGTCTTGTTACTCTATATTCTTTATGTACCCTGGGTTATTTAATTTTACTCGTTTTTCCAAAATTTTGCTATAATAATTATTGAATCGTGTAATCGTGTTTCTTATAACAAAAATTGTAAATATCCTAATAAAGAAAAATAAATTGACTTTATTTATTTTCTGATTAAACCGATGTAACAGGGAGGCCATATAGTAAATGTAGAATAAATATTTACTAATAGGTGGAACCTAAAACTGGTTGTATTTTTGAGATGCTATGCCTAAGTCACTATTAATTGATAACTACAAGATTCTTGTTTGGGGTCCTTTTAAAAAAAATATGGACAAATTTTAAAAATTCACTGATGTAACAGTGGGACGCCGTGTCCCAGTTTCTCAGAATGGAACAGTTTTTTGGGTTGATGATTTGCTCGCAGAGAAATTGAGTGAAAGAATTAGTAAAGACAATCTAAAAGCCCAACCATTCATACCAATTTGACTGTTATTTCTATTACAAACTGTTAGAACAGGCTGTGTGTGTTCATGTCACTGATGTAACAGTATCGGGACACCGTTGTTACATCGTTACCCTTTGGATTGATGTACTTTTGAAAACCAAACTATAAACAAATCTGAAGTTTTTCAGTTTTGTACTGAAATATAAATTCATTTTCATATTATTCAATAAAAACACAATTAGATAGATTCTAATTCACTTTTAAAAAATTAATTTGAATTTTTATCACACAGAATTTGCATTTTTTGTGTAGGATGCCATGAGATTAAATGATAAAAAAGAAATACCTTTTTAAAAATAAACATATGTGGTATCATTTGAAAGGTCTTTTTATGTCCTATAATGTCAAATAAAATTTATTTAAACATACTGCATAGTGTCCCAACAATGCCACATTTTATGTACACCAGCTGCTAATTTTGACCTGTACCCCAACTTGGAGGAATGAATTCATCTGCATCATCACAATCATCAACATCATCACTAAATTCAGCTTATCACTATCTTTACGGTTACTAGGGCCGTTGCTAAGGTCATTTGCTGCCACCTTGTCATTTTAATAGGCTCCACTGGACATAAGTATAAATCTGAATCAATGCTATGGAGGAATATGGGCAGTATATAATTTGTAATAGTGAATTAAGTTCTATTTATTGCATTCCTATGACCCAATGTAATTCCGTTACCATGTAATTCCGTTACCAGGTTTTCTACAAAACTAGCGAAGATCAAAGAAAACTGTTGAGTGATAATGGTAAAGGTGTATGACTAGTAAGAGAATAAACCTGAGTTTATGGACATTGGTTTGCTCTTAGAAAAATATTAATCACTTTTTTGGTAATGAACATTTTTTTTTGTTTTTAAATTTTGAATCATATGCTCAAATATACCGGTGGTTTTTGGAGAATATGAATTAATGACTAAAATTACACTTCGAACCAAATTATACATATCTTTCTGCTCTGAAAATGAAACCCAAGTTTAGATACAAGTGGATAAAATTTTTGGTGGTTTTGGCCTTCTAATGTGGAATTATACAAATAGATTCCGATGAGTAGTGTCCCGAATTTATTAATTTTAATTAAACATAGAACAGTGGTTCCCAACCTAGGTCTGCAAAAAATAATTGGGGATTCGCCAAGCCAAATGGGTCCGCTAGATTATTAAAACAACTTTCATGATTCTATTATTATTTTTAATGGTCTTACAGCAGTGTGATCATACTTTGGCAATAATTAAATTCCAAGCATGACTTAATCCAGTTTTAGCTGGCATTATATTTTAATTTTATGGTATTTTCGCCATTTTCAATGTTAAAACAACAATTTTTAAAGATTTGATGGTTTCTGTCTTAGAAGTGCCAGAAATAATATATTTTGAAAGCGGATTTCTCAAATATTGTTCTTTAAACAGCTGTATGTTGAAACGCGTTAACTTTATAAGGAAATGTCGGATTTAAATGATTTTTTTATACCATTTCATAGCTCCCATTTTTTGCGATTGTGACTGGTTTGGGTTGTCTTTGCAATAAATGTAATTACACAAAACAAATATCTAAATCTGGTGAAATAATTCAATTTAAAGTATGTATCACAACATAATTAATTATATGCAGATTGAAAATATTAGTATGCATTTTATATATATTTACTTAATTTATTTACTATGTTTAAGTTCTTTATCACAATTGGTTTCAATAAGTTTAAAATAATTATTTAAAAGTAGAATAATGTCAATACTAGCAAAGAGAATATCATGTCGGCCATTTTTATGTCTGATGAAAAATTTAAAGTCGAGGTAAGGCAGCCAGAAAATTCATCCGTAATTTTTTGCCGTCTAAACACACACACCAAAAAAAAAATCAAATTTGGGTCATATTTTCCAATTTTTTTCATGTTTAGACATTAAAATTAAATTAAGTCAAAATACAAGTCTGACATCATAGATTTACAAGTCGTAAAATCTATGGTCACCCAAAAGCGATGATCACTAATTGCAGAGTCATGATTTTGAAGAGGTCTCAAGATGAAGTTGTGAATATCTACATAATATTTTATGGCAGCAATTCAAATTATTAAGCTAATTAATTAAATTATTTTTTTCATAATTTTTTGATACATAATTGCAAACTAGGTATGATTTCAGCTTAATTTATGTTGGGCTGTTCTGATTGTTTTAAATCATGTTTGGGTATCTGTTTTCTATTGAATTGTTTTATCTATGTAAATTTTGATGCAATTTAAAGTATTTTAATAATAAACCAGAAATAAATAAATACATTAAATAGATGGATATGATTAGATGAATTGTTCGTCAAGGCAGTTAGTGATATAAGTAACTTAAGTGTTGGTCCAATTCTGGACTTACTTTTAAAATGTTGGTCCACATCTGGACAGTCAGCCTATCCAAGCGCTAGGATGTTACACATGCGAAATTTGCTGCCGCTGAAGATATATGTTATTAGAAGTTGCTTTTGCTGTGGTGTCATTTCAGCAGTTTCCTGACTTCTGTAGTTTTAAGTGTCTGACAATAAATATTAATTATCATTATACATCATTGTGATGCAGCCATGGTCCAGCAAATTATGCAAATGAGTCCAAATCTGGACAGTCAGCCAGTAGGATGCTACACATGCAAGACTCACTGAATTGTAATCCAGGTGCTACCTAGATATACATGCTGAAGATATATCCTATCAAGAAGTTGCTTTTGCTGTGGTGTCATTTCTGCAGTTTCCTGACTATGAATATTCATTATCATTACATCATTCTGATGAGGCCATGGTCCAGTGAATTATGCAAATGAGTCAACTAGCAAAGAGCTGTAATAAAAAAAAAATGACATTATTAGATTTAAAATTTAACCAACAAATATTAAGACTTACATTAATAAAAATGGTTTTAAATGTAAATGTGTAATATTAATTTAAATTAATTCTCAAATAACATTACTTCATATATAAAAATTTGTATTTATATTTATTCAACACCATTCATCAGTTGTATAAAATTTGACTATAACACATCCCAAGTAAATATTTATCAATCTTGCCAATCTTGGACAGTATTCTGGTAGCATAGCTACTTCTACGTTATCAGTTTAAAGTGTTATGGTACTGGGTAAACTTAATTTTTTTGTTTGTTTATTTTGTTTTTCTTTTATTTTTTCTACCTACTAGAGGTAATGTTTTGATTGGTTAACTTTTGGTACTAGTGCATATACCTGTAAGCTTGTTAATATAGATATTTTTTCCGTTCCTGATGATGGCATGCATTTAAATACTTTAAGTATGTATTATGCTTTCTTATAATTTTTTATATTTATTTCTTAAAACATAAAGTATTTTAATAATAAACCAGAAATAGATGGATATGATTAGATGAACTGTTCATCAAAGCAGTTAGTGATATAAGTAATTTAACCGTTGGTCCAATTCTGGACTTACTTTCAAAATGTTGGTCCACATCTGGACAGTCCGCCTATCCAAGCGCTAGGATGTTACACATGCGAAATTTGCTCTGGTGAAACCCATGTGCTACCTTCAATCCCGTTGAAATGTGCTATCAAGAAGTTGCTTTTGCTGTGTCATTTCAGCAGTTTCCTGACTTTCGTAGTTGTAAGTGTCTGACAATAAATATTAATTATTATACATCATTGTGATGCAGCCATGGTCCAGCAAATTATGCAAATGAGTCCAAATGTGGACAGTCAGCCAGTAGGATGCTACACATGCAAGACTCACTGCATTGTAATCCAGGCGCTACCTGGATATACATGCTGAAGATATATATCCTATCAAGAAGTTGCTTTTGCTGTGGTTTCATTTCTGCAGTTTCCTGACTATGAATATTCATTATCATTACATCATTGTGATGAGGCCATTGTCTAGTGAATTATGCAAATGAGTCAAAAAAGAGCCTGTAATAAAAAAAAAAAATCATATTATTAGATTAAATTTTAACCAACAAATATTAAGACACTTACATTAATAAAAATGTTTTTAAAAGTAAATGTGTAATATTAATTTAAATTAATTTATCAAATAACATTATTTCATAGGGTTTGTATTTGTATATATATTCAACACCAATCATCAGTTGTATAAAACTTGACTATAACACATCCCAAGTAAATATTTGTCAACTGTGCCAATCTTGGACAGCATTTCTTGTTTTGCTGCTTTCAGCATATGTTACAAAAAATGTTATTTTTCTGGTAAAAAAATAAAGTTAAATTAGAAACAGAATTATCATCTTTCAAATGTCAAAATTGATTTATCTGTTTCATTAGCAGTATTTCTCTTTTAGACTTTTTTCCT